CGAGAGAATTTGAGGCTTCAGATTAAATCTCATTGTTTACCACTCTAACTCCAGCAAAAAGTAGGTGCTTAACAAATACTAGTTGAAGGAATGAATGAATGAAAGATATATCCCACTTTAAATATAGTTACAGGGGTATTTCTGGAAAGTTAATTCCAGGATATTGTTGCAGCCGCCTAGTCACTGCCAGCCCACCAACAATGCTAAAGGAAACAGCCCTTTAAAGTTAGAAAAGGCTAGGAGAAAGTCGTATGCTGAAAGAGGTTTAAAAGTTCAGGCATTCCTTCTAAAGTTGCAGAATTAAAAGACAAAAGAGTTCAGGCAGTTTTTAAACACTAGAAACTTGGTTGTGGTGCAGTGCGGGGTCGGGCTGTCTGGATGCCGTGCTTGCTTCCCTTCTGGAAGCCGCGTTTAGAGGACGCTGCTGTGCGGTGTCACGTGACGCACCCAGGGGCTTCCAGCCACAGTGGTTCACAGTGCCTGTTTACAGGCTCAAGCAAGGCACCCCTCAGCCTTGGCAGAGTCCCTGCTGACACGCCGAAAAGCATTCTCCCCAAAGAGCATCCAGGGGGAAGTAGCTATCACTGTTAGCATTATTGTTATCTTCTGATAACATCTGTGTTTTTGGAACAGCCTAGGAGGGGAGTATGTAAGAAGCTGATCAGAGAACAGAGAGAAGGAGAAAACAATTTCCACAGCACTGAAGCAGTTAGATGAAAATGTGCTATAAACCAATTGGCTCTTCCTGCTCCTGTGTGTGTGTACATGGGGGTGGGTGGGAGCCAGTACAGGCAGGTGGTGCTGAAAGACCAATTCAACCCGGGAGACACTCGGAAATTTGGTTTCCAGCCCCTACAGTTCCACTATCCCCTACTCAGGACTTTTCCCCTTTAAGAGAGGGAGGACTACAACTTTGCTCTCTCTCCTTTAAAAAACAGATCCTGAATTAGAGGGGCAGTTTAAGTCAATGTTTCAAAAAATTAACAAAGAGACATTATAGATCTTTTTAAAAAGTCCCTGCAGTTTATTTGTTTTGATAATATATTCACTGAGGAATATATGCTTTTTTTGAGCTGAATAAGGCTAGGTCAGTGTGCTTTCTAAAACTTGGTTAATTTTGAAATATAACAGATTAGTAAAGGAATAAATGTAACTGTTAGTTTTCACTGAGAATACCCCATCTATATGAACACTAATAAGTGCAATTTTATCTTTCTGATTTAAAAAAGTACACATTTTTAATTCTTTGGCATTTAAAGGAATGTGTTTTCCTATGGCAAGAATCCATTGTCTTCAAATCAACCAATAAAACATGCCACTTCTCATTAAGATGACATTTAAACTTGGTTCTCCCCCCCCCCATAAACACCTTTGCTCAGGATCCCACACTCCCACTCCCTCACCTCCTTACATCTCAGAAAGGCCCTTTACTGACTGTGTGATGTTATACACGTAGGAAATGTATCCTTGTGTACCTAGGGTATTTTTTTTTCTGTTTGTTTTCTCTTCCAGCATTTGATCACTGGCTGGTGAACTGTTTGGGCCCACAGAGATCTCTAGACCACCAGCTCATGTATTTGAAAGGCATCTGCTTATTTTGAAAATGCAAATGTGGCCTACCTCAAAGACTGACAGGCAAAGAAATGACCCACCAAGTGAAGGGAGAGGTTTCCAGTCTGGAGCCCTGACCCTCCCTCCAGTATACCAAGATCACCTGCTGTCAGAACCACTTAAACCAGCTCCTGGAATCTGAGCAAAGCACCCACAATTAAAATGAGCATACTTATCTCTCCAGAATTAACCAGGCAGATCATTTCTCACCCAGTTTAAAGTGAAGATGAGGACATTTACAAAAGGACTCTGAGCCTTTGAAACGGTGGCTCCTAGACTGAGGGCTGCCTGGAGGAGGGCCCGATAACAAGGACACCCTGGCTTCTAACAAGAGCTGCCCAGTCCTTATGAGGAGAAAGCACAGAAAGGTTAATACCCTGACTTTGATCTCTGTCAAGGCATACCAGCAAGAATTAATTTACATTTCAGATGAAAAAGGTTGACAGCATGAAAAGGCATCTTGTTTCTGGTATGTGAATGTGCCCTAATAGATCGGGAATTCTGAAAGGAAGTTCTGAGGAAGCTAAAGGGATAAGCCAAGCGGCTGCTTTTATTGGGAAGGAGATGAAAGGAAAACAAATTTCAATATGCGCTGCTCTGTAGCAACATGTAGGCCAAATGCTTCCTAAATTTCAAGGTCTGCTTTTGTTAAAAAAAAAAAAA